TGGGAAGGGGGCCCCGGGGGCCGCCCGGGCCCCCCCGCCATCGCCCTCGGCTCTGGGCGCTGGAGCCCTGGACCCCCCATATCCCCCCGGCCCTGCTCCCCATCCTGCCCCGCCTGGCCGGCGCTGAGCCCCCATGGTGCTGCTCTGGGACTCGGGTCTGGTGCAGGGTCAGCTGCGCCCCCCACTCTGCCCCGCAGCCCCCCCGCCGGGTTAATCAGTCACGGCTGTGGCCGCGGGGAAGGTGACACCGTCCCAGTCCCTGTCCCAGTCCCCTGCCCGTTCTGCCCGGCTGCCCGCACCGCGCTGAGCCCCCATGGTGCTGCTCTGGGACTCGGGTCTGGTGCAGGGTCAGCTGCGCCCCCCACTCTGCCCCGCAGCCCCCCCGCCGGGTTAATCAGTCACGGCTGTGGCCGCGGGGAAGGTGACACCGTCCCAGTCCCTGTCCCAGTCCCCTGCCCGTTCTGCCCGGCTGCCCGCACCACGGAGCAGCTCCACCGCCGGACCCCGGGGCACGTTAACGTTCAACCTGTGCCCAGCCGGGGGGGCAGCTCGCCCGTGCTCTGCGCCCGGGTGGACACCCCGTCACCCCCCACCAGTGGGCTCCAAGCCCTGTGCAGGCCCGGTATCCGTCTGTCCGTCTGCATGCAGGACGCCCCGGGGAGGGGATCGGGCGCTGCGGCGAGGCTGGGGGTGACGCCGGTGCTGGTCCCCCCCCAGCGCTGCAAGGAGCGGGTGAACTCGCTGGCCATCGCGGTGATGAACATGTGGCCGGGGGTGAAGCTGCGGGTGACGGAGGGCTGGGACGAGGACGGGCACCACCTCCCCGACTCGCTGCACTACGAGGGCCGGGCGCTGGACATCACCACCTCCGACCGCGACCGCCACAAGTACGGCATGCTGGCGCGCCTGGCCGTGGAGGCCGGCTTCGACTGGGTCTACTACGAGTCCTCGCGGTGATGAACATGTGGCCGGGGGTGAAGCTGCGGGTGACGGAGGGCTGGGACGAGGACGGGCACCACCTCCCCGACTCGCTGCACTACGAGGGCCGGGCGCTGGACATCACCACCTCCGACCGCGACCGCCACAAGTACGGCATGCTGGCGCGCCTGGCCGTGGAGGCCGGCTTCGACTGGGTCTACTACGAGTCCAAGGCGCACACCGCCCCGGCACCGGCCCTGTCCTCCCCCAGGACGAGTACACCATCCTGCCCCACTCCTTCGTCATCGGCATCCACGGCTACGTCCTGGTGTACTCGGTGACGTCCCTGCGGAGGTGAGGGACCCATCTGCCCTCCCTGCCATGCCGTCCCCGCGCCCTCGGGGCTGGGGACGGGTCCCCTTGAGGGGGAGACCCCGGTGGTGGGGGGCAATGCCTGGATCTCCCCTTCTCCCCGCAGCTTCCAGGTGGTGAAGACCCTGCACAACAAGCTGTACGAGAGCTGGGGGCAGACGCGGTAGGTGCTGTCCCTCCCGGGGAGGGGGGGGCCCGGGGGGGCCGGGCCCTCACCCTCCCCATGCCCGCAGCATGCCCGTGGTGCTGGTGGGGAACAAGGCGGACCTGTCCCCACAGAGGTAAGGCGGGCTCTGGGGGTCCCGGCCCCCCCGGGGACCCGGTGGCCCATCCTGGCCGTCTTCTGCTGTGTCTCCAGCCGGGAGGTGAGGACGGACGAAGGGAAGAAGCTGGCGGAGTCGTGGGGCGCCATCTTCCTCGAGTCCTCGGCCAAGGAGACCCAGGTCTGGGGCAGGGTGACGTACCCCGCCGGGGCTGGGAGCGGGGTCCCCGAGGTGCCGGGGCTGACGTCCCCTCGTCCCCAGGTGACCCAGGGGATCTTCACGAAGATCATCGAGGAGATCGACCGGCTGGACAACTCCTACGGCAGATCGAGCGGCTGCCGCCTGATGTGAGCCCTGCCTGGGCCAGACCCCCGGACGGGGCAGACCTCCCATGGGACCTTCCCCCAGACACGGTGGTGGCTTCGGGGGGGTCCGGGGCCACGCGGTCCCGCCGTTGCACAGGACCCCTCACTTTGCACAGTCTGTGGGGCTCACGAGGGGCTGGGAGCGGGGTGGGGGTCCCGTCCCGGCCGGGGAGCACCCCCTGCTCGTAGCTGCTGTCCCCCCACACGTACAAGGACACGCTGGGGCCGTTCCCGCTCTGGCCGCGGCGAGCCCGGGCTGAATGCGGGGGGTGTTCCCCGC